TCCTATATTTCTGTTCTCTTTTCTCTCAATTCTCCGCAGGTTTGCTCTCCCGTTCTTTGTCTTTACTTCCGCTCTCCGTGTTCTTTTCTTCTCCTTCCGACGTCTACTCTACATCCCCTTACGTTTCTCTCCTCCTACATTTCACCTCTGTCTCCGTTCCCTCTCCCGTTCCCAGGTCCCACTCTCTCGCCCTTCCCTCGCGAGGAACCTCCCCACGAACCAATTAACCCTCCGCGTTACTTTCGCTTTCAAGGGACCGCTAGTTGACGCACGCCTGCGCCCTCGCCTGACGATCTCGAGATCCCGGCGCGCCACGTGGCTCGAGGGATCGGGAACAACGCATGCCTGCTTGCCCACGGTTCATAGTTTGCGTCGCACTCGATTCCCTCTCGCCAACCGATCGCATGAAAATCGGAAATTCTATTACGAACAAGTCGAAGACGAAAGAAAGGGGAAAATAAAGCTAGATCGATGTTAACAAATTTACGACAGCATACGGTAGACCCTAAGGAAAATTGATATCCAATGAAAAGTGAAAGAAAATGGCGGATATTTATCAGAAACATTTCAGATGCTTCAAATATTCCAAAAAATTCCTCGGAAACATTCGAAATTTCAAGCGACCGCGAGGAGAAAGAGAAACGAGTCCGACACCATTCGATTGTCTTTCCCCATCGACTTCGATCCACACCCTGCCCCGCCATAAACTCGTCCGAGGTCCGCGCCCGCCGACTTCTCATCGGAATGCATCCCCTCATGCAGGCTATGCGTAGGTTGCATCGACTGTTCTACCTGGTAGAGAAGTTGTGGAATGTGTTTTTGTGCGTCGATTGTCGAACTCTCCGAGAAGAATACTCGATCGAGTCCCCGTTTCTCGATCGGTCATACGCCTTCGTCTCCGGCCGAATGGATAGAGCACGCGTCGTTTAACCCCCGACGAACTCTCGGCGCGAGATCACCGCGCTGACAGCAGCCGCTCGCGGTTGTACTCGCCTGTGAAACGCAACTTATTCGACTGCAAGTTACTGAATCGTTAACACTGGAACTGCCAGGTGGACCGATACAATTCCGACTCGCTGTCGATAACATTCGAAGCACGCGTCTTTTCATCCCTGAAAACCGAATTCGTTCATCGAAACGATCTCTGTTCCTGTGATACGATTCTAATGAATTCACCGATAACGTTCCGGTAGCACGCGAGCAGAGAGGAATCTTAACGAGTTTTCGAATTAGTTCCAGTGTTAAACGAAACACGCTGTAACTAGCCTAATTCTGATCGTAGATTAGCGATCATCGAGAAAGTAGCTTTCTCGAAAAACTCACGATCTCGCGATGGAAGGAGCGACTTCGCGGAAGGAAGAAATCGTTCTTCCGGCATTCTCGTCGATAGAGCATGTAGAGCCGCATATCTGCTGCGCATCCGCGCCGAAAGCCTCTCGTCGTGTCGCGCGAGACACGATCTAGTCTGTTCTAGACTCTTTGCTGCCGCATCCCGCCGCCTGCACGACATAACGTTATTCACGGTGCTTGGCTGTCTTTCTCTTTCTCTCTTTCTCTATCCTTCTCTCTCTCTCTCTCTTTCTCTCTTTCTCTTCCTCTTTCTCTCTCTGCATCTCTCTTTGCGCGCGGGTTCCTTCGAGCGAGAACGGATCGGAAACGAATCGACGCGTCCGAGGCCGCTCGCGTTGGATTCCGGTTTCGATCGACGTGACTTTTGCTCGCGGATCCGGTCAATTTCTAGATGCAATTTATACACCGCCGGCTGAAAGCAAAAGCTGTCGAGTCGGAGTTGCACGGTACGCTCGTAATTATTCCCAGGATTCCGCGTGCGTTTGCATCGGAGGATTATAGGTTACACCGGTAGCGATACGGTGTCTGCGAGATGAAAAGTTGGTCGCTTTGATATTATATGCTCGCTTTTCCTGTCTCTTTGAGCGTCAACCGGGAATTATGCAATCTTAACTGGTGTCGATGGTAAGGTCCCATGGATATTTAGAAACAAGAGGATGCAAGGGATAGGAAAATTCCACCTTTTTCATGGAAATAGAATGCAGTTAACCTCTTGCTTTATGGTATAGAGTAATGCAGCCTCGAAACTGAATTTTGAACGTATAGATCTTTTCCTTTCAACTTGAAATTAGATATCTTTTTCTCAGGATCATTGAATTCTTATAGAAAACGTAAACTTCCAACTAACCTGGAGTTCTCTTAGAATTCTCTTATTTGCCTTTCGGTTAATAGAATCTTCCTCGGCGGGTTGACTGTGCCAATGATATTTCCATTTGCTAACTGAGGTGCCGACGTTGCTCCTTCATGATTCCTGTTCAAAATAATACAACAGTGTAGTACATGATACCTCTATTTCATTTTAAGAGTAATTCACTATCTTTCTCATACTAAAAGAGTACACTCCAATCGAAGCGAGTGGCAGTCAACCTGTCAACAGTTTTCCTTCTCTCTCAATCAAGTATCAATCCTCTGCACTCCATCGTCACCACTCTGACATCAGAAAATATATTTATAACTCCATTTTCAATCAAACAACTTAAAAATGCACATACATTTCTCTAATGTCAAAGCAGAATCTTCAATCTTCAACACCTCATTGAAGTGTTACCTTTAAATTGTACAATTGCGATACTACAAATGAATATAGAAAAAATTGTTAAAACAAGCAATGATTGCAATAAAATAGAATGTCGACTCTGACTGGACACAGGACTGCTAAAGATTAATATTGAATTGAAAATTTGATAAGTTCGCTGCGTCGAATCAGGTGGCGACTGTAAGGCGCCTCTCGAGTGCAAAGGGTTAAAAACTGCTCGGAGTGCAAAGGGTTAAGCGTAACACAGCTTGAAAGGGAATACATCGAGCTCTCCGTCGCGAAGAGGATTCAGCGTCGCTGTCGATCGAATAATCACGAGCGTTATCGCGTGCACGGTGTCCATCGCGAGGCGGATCCCCGCGCGAGTCGATCTCGTCCTCCGTGAACGGCGTCTCCGCGTGGAACAGCCGCAAAGACGCCTCCCCTTGGACTTCAGGCCGATTGTAGCGATTAATCGTTGCAATTAGTCCGCAGCGGTGAGTCCCGGCAGCGTGGACAGGTCGCAGCGAAAACTCCCGATCACGTAATCGCGACGATTAATCGCGTCCCAGCGAACGCAACGGCCGGGACAATTAATCCCGCGTCGGCGGCGCGCGTGCGCGGCCGGCACGCCGGCTAATGAGCAACGAATTTAATTAACGTCGCGTCGCGTCGCGGGAAACGCGAGGCTCTGCCGGAATTAAGGCTGCCCGCACACTGGATGCGAGACAGGCGTCGATTCGACGGAATTTTCATCGTGACGATGCGAATGTGACGCGTGAAAATTCCGGATCGACCTATTGGCTCCTCTCGCGCAGAGGAATATTGTGTACGTTGGAAAGTTCTAATGGAATATTATATGCTGGATTTTGTAGAATGTGATTTGGTGTAATATTCTATGGTATCGTGATACAGTAATGGGTATTGTAAAATATAACGCTGTGTAGTATAATATTCATTTTCACAATGAAGTAACAGTAAAATGCAATATAGTGTAATATTCTATAGTATCAAAATACGGTAACAAATATTACAAAATACAATGCAACATAATATAATACTCTACACTATCACGATAAAATAACGAATATTATAACATGCAACGCAATGTGGTACAATATTCCATATCACAATAAAATGAATATTCTACAATGACCATAATCCAGTACAACATTCTGCAACATCGCAGTAAAAAACAACAGATAACGCAATACAATAAAATCCAATTACACCACAGAGAAAACTAACTGTCAGAACAAAGATATTCTCGAAACTCCCAACGAAGGTAGTTCCATCGACTGAAAAGCAAGTTTTACGTGCCAGCAAAAGAATTCACCGTAGCGGCGGACTATTTTAAAATTGCTGCATCGATCGCCGGGAGACCTTTGCCGGAAGACATCCGTGAACTTTCGAAATTGCCGAATTGCCGAGCAAGATAAGCCACGGCCGGTTAATTACGGGCACGGCTCGAACGCTATCGTTCGCGACACGGAAGCCGGCAACGACGAACGACCACGGATATAATATAAT